ATTCCCTCGTGGGATGTCTTGACAATGCACAGATTCCACATGAATGTTTAGTGGAAGATACTACAGATAGTTCCTTGATTTTTTTTCATTTCTAGGGCTTCAAGCATTCGAGACAAGGTAGCCATCTTGGCTCTTAGGTCATCATCTTCTTTTAATACATACTTCCCTACTTGGGATGTAGATGACTTGGTTTCAACAATATTTGGAGAGGCTGAGTCCCATATTTGGGAACTCTAAAAAATGGTATCAAAAAACTCGAATGCCTCCTCAGGACTTTTACTCATGAATTCTCCCTGGGCCATTATTTCAACAAACTAGCGTAGTGCTGATGGGAGGGAATCATAGAAGAAACCTACTATAGTCCAACTTTTAAATGCATGATGTGGGCAAGCTTGGAGAAGATCCTTAAATTTCTCCCAGTATTGATAAAAAAATTTCTCTTCGTTTACAGAAAAATTCACGATTTGACGTCTCAATGCATTAGTGCGATGCATAGAATTTTTTTTTTTTTAAAAATTCAGTTTGCTAAACTTTCCAACTTGGAATAGATTGGCCTTTTAAAGAATTTAGCCATTGTTTAGCCTTATCCTTCAAAGAGAAAGAAAAAAGTTCCAACTGGACCATTTCAGAATTATCTTGCAAAACACCACATATTTCCTCAAATTCTTTAATATGCAAATACGGGTTTTCAGACTCCAGACCATGAAACTATGGTAAAAGTTGTGTTGTCCCTGCCTTAATGTTGAAATTTGGAGCATTATTGAGAAAAACAAAACATGACGGGGCACTAGTGTGTATGAGATGCAAATATTCTCTTAAAAGTCGGACATTCTAAACTACCTCTTGTTCCCATTGATTATTGAGAGCCATGCTTAACTCATATGATGCTTGTGACGATGAAGATGACGGAGATGAAGGATTAGACTGATATACAGACTCTACTGATGACTTAACAGACATAAATAATGCAAATACAACAAACAGTGAAAATACATATAATACAAACTAGACAACTTTCCTATTCATTTTGAAATCACTATAACTTCCCAGCAACAACACCAAAAAGCTTGTTCTGAACTGAATTATGTCATGCACCCAAGTATAAGTGGTCAAATTATAGTTTCTTGGTTTAAGTCTACGGTTGAACCCACATGGAGCTAACAGTTGGGATTCAAAATATAAATGGTGAAATTGTCGTGAATGTAGTGTGCAATGGAATAACTTGTGGTGTGAGCTTAGAACGATCATAATAAACACTTAACTAAAACTTTAGAAAGACAATAATAAAAAAGTACCCTTTAGTTCGGAGATCCAACATGAATTATATTGTTTAGTTATTGAAAATACCACCTTACAACAATTAATCCTCATTTTATTGGAAAGTCAACCGGTTGGTTTGATGTATATTAAATTATATTACAGCAACTGAAAAGGTCTCTGTACCATGCATCAATTAAATAACCCAAGTAAACCAGAAGACAAGCCATTCAGAAGGTTTACTTAAGTTATTCAATCGACAGGTTGATGATTCACTGATGACGAAATTTCAGTTTATGAATTGAATCAAAAACATTGACTATGACAAGATTTAACCCGTCTATAACCAATCTCCCGACTGTTACATAGACCCCAACACGTACATCATTGTATCGTATAGGAAGTACGTAATAAGTATAGATAGAATGGTATGTAACTTTAAGTACCGCTCGGTGTTCATAACAATGAGCATATTATAAATATAATAATCCATTAATTAAGGGAGGTATAAACATTGAAGTATAAGTAAAACATCGGCATTTCTATAACTTAACCAATATTACACATGTGTTCACCCTTCATCAAAGGGTATAGATGGATTACTCACGCTTCATTGCTATAGACGAGCAAAATGAGTGAGATATCCTCATTATAATCAAAACGAAATACAAACAAGTCCTTCCCCAAAGAATATCTAAAACACTGCCACTCTTGTTACCGATTAGGGCACAAAAGTGGGAGAGATTCAACCCTCCAAGTAGAAAAGATATAAAGAAATGTAGAAGTAGAAGAAATCTGGCTGGGAAATGATTCTGGCAGGGCCTTGCTTAATTGTTTCTCTTTTTCTCTCCTTCCTCACTGTCTGGACTGAGCTCTGAGTGGATCTCTGAAAATGAAACTGGAAGGGGCTATTTATAGGCACTAGTAGGACCTATTGAGGCGGCAGAACCTTAGATGACCAATAGGAGGACTATGTTATATATTTGGACCAATGGGGTGAGGATAGAGGTTTAAGGTAGTTAGGTACTGTCCGGATGCCACCACCACCATCGGACGGTGGCTTTTCTCTAGTTTCTTCATGTTTGGTAACCCCTTTGTTTGACGTATTGATTTGATAATTGCATTTGCCTCCCTGCTTGGTTTTGCTTATACACTTTATCACTCCTTAATTTGCGTAATTCCGCACGAAACCTTGTAGAATATCAAATTCCTGCATTAACCCTAATTTCGCATAACATAGTTATTTTAACCTAATTCACTCACACATTTATCTTAAAAAACCTAAATCATTAATACATTATTTAGGGTTAATCAGTAACTCCACACCCTGAAGCATATTGGCTGGAGCCATACCTTTGAGGTTCACTTTTATTGCTTTTTTTTCTTAGGTGGAAAAACGTCAACCTTGATTATCTTGAATAATTTATTGATACGTCTATTCGAGCCCAGCTTGAACCTGTGCTTGATTTTTGCCTTTCTTTGATTGTTAATAGCCCAAATTGTCCTCTTCCACTAAATTTGTACATCAATCACCATAGTTTTTTATTATAGCGATTGATTCTAAACACACCCCTTATGGAAGTACTCCAGTGTTAGTGGCCTAGGCCAATGCAGCCAACAAGGACCCTGACTCCATTATGGTGATTGGCTTCTCATTTCTCAAGGTCATTGGGGCCAAGAACTATCATAGTTGCCTGGATGACGATACCCTTCAAGAAATTAGGGCATTATATCAGATCCCCAATACTGTGCGCCTTACGGTCCCTTCTTCCAACAAAATTGCCAATTCTTTTTTGCCCAATGAAGTCTGCTTTTATGAGTCTATCTTCAAGGATGGACTTCGCTTTTCGATGCCTATATATATTAGGGAAGCACTCCACCTTTTGAATCTTACTCCTACCAAGTTAACCCCAAATATATGAGACCCACACCTATATATCTTGCAATTTTATATAGTGTTGGGGGTCTAAGTGTAATTTGTTAATATTAGTACAAAGTTAAAATTTTGATTATTAAAATCCTGGGAATTCAAGTATGATTTCAATTAAATATTTTGGAGTTAAACTATAAGATGGTGGAGTATTTAGATGTGATTTTTAATGTGTTGGGAAAACTACGTGTTGGTTTTGGCGTTTCAGGTCTTCCATTATTTTTTCAAAATTTTTGACTTTCGCCGATTCTTTCTCTAGGGGTAATTTAGTCTTTCGTCCCATTGAATGAGTGCTTGGAGTCCATTCATAAGTGTGATTTTTGTCTCCTGATGGTTCCTTTCATTTGGTTACAACCATAAGATCAAGGTTGGGTGAAAAGAAATTGGAAACGTAGTCGTTCCCACAAACGACTCTAGTTATTGATCCCAAAAACTATGCACCAGGTGGCTGTTCAAAATGATGAATTGGCCGTTGGCGGGAGTGTTCCTGAAAGGGAAGTTGAGGATCAGAGCAGCTCTGGTGGTCGATCCTCTAATGATAAAGTCAAAAAGGGAATGATGAAGAAAATTGTATTTAGCTTAGAGTAGTCAACTTTGTTAGTAGTATGCCTCAAGACCAATCGTATAGATGACATTTTGGGATTGTACTAGCAACATTCATTACTTAATTAAATAAAAGTGTAAGCTTATTTATCATGTTACTAGCTAATTTCATTTTAATATACATGATATAGTTCGTAGAGTATAAGTTAAGAAGATAGGTTCTGAAGGAGTTGAGAAGAAATGACCTTCACTTTTTAGTATTTAACTCTTAAATGTTTATAGTCATATGATTACTATATGGACACTATGTAATCTAGATAGACTAACATACACTATATTTACTCATATTTGATATGAGGTGACTCGTCCAAGTCCATAGTGTAGAGATACTGAAGCAAGTGTATGTGTGCTTGTTAGAAACAAGTACACTGACCATGATCATTGATTAACGTATGATTTTTCATATGGAGTTTTACATATTTGCCAATGTTAAATTCTGAAGTTATAGTTATGCAATTGATCCTTAGACTATAAATACCATGGTTATCTTGTGTATGAACTTCTATATTTTAATTATACAACATATTCATATACTAACTATATAACTTGGATATGTATTATTGGACATAGTTAGACATACACGGAGACTTATGAATGTATAACATGAAATCTATCACCCTTAACAAATAGAGGGAGAATGTTCTATATGAACTTCTGGGATACGACTCAAAGAATCGTTGACCAAGATAGAATGACAATTAAAAAAAAATATTAAATTAATCATTAAGAATCATAATCCTTACATCGTATACATAAGATTGAGTGTTAACGAGTAAGGAGGTAAGGTCCTTTCTAAACCCCAGTGGTCGTCCTTCAAACAATAGAACTCATTTGCTCCGCTTTTGTCTAATTTATAATTTATCAATTTGGTATATGAAACTATGTTGCTTTTTTCTATTACATTTAGAAAAGGGGAAAATTTTGAATCCACACAAACTTTTCGTTACCAACAAGAAACGAAGCACAACTCACTGTAAATGTACACCCCCTAATATCGAACTAAGATTGCTTTTTTGTATTATATTTAGAAAGATGAGAAAATTGAATCCACACAATCTTTTCTTTACCAACAAGAAACGAAACGCACCCCACTGTAAATATCCACCCCCTAATCCCCATTTCTCTCATAAACCAAACCCAAGTTATCAAATTGAAGCTCTCTCTCTCTCTTTCTCTCTCTACAGTTCTTTTTTCTATACCTATTCACATCATGTGTAATCAAGCTGAATCTTCCGACTCGTAAGTCTCTCCATTCCCAGATTTCCACAGACACACACACACACAGACGTGATTGTGTATGTATATTGGGTATATTTTAATATATTTGTTTTCATTTCTAATTGTTTATTTTGTGATTGTGGGTTTTGTGTGAAGAAAGGGGACGAAGAGGGACTTCAGTACGGCGATTCTGGAGCGAAAGAAGGCACCGAATCGGCTCGTCGTCGACGAGGCAACTAATGATGACAACTCGGTGGTCTCGCTCCATCCTGAGACAATGGAGAAGCTCCTTGTATTCCGTGGCGATACGATCTTGATCAAGGTTCCATTTTTTTTTTTTTTTGAGTTTTATGACATCCATTGAGTTTGCTTGTGGGTTTTATGTTTTTAAGCTGTTGTAGGGTTGGTTTTGATTTGGCTTTTGGGGATTCTTTTAGGGTGGTTGGAATTAGGGGTTTTCATTGAGGGGATTTATCCATAGGTGTTTGGTGGGGCTCTTATCTGGTGGGTTGTGGATCGGTGAAGTAATTTTGTCATGGCTAGTAAAATATTGAACTTTTGAAGCCCAATTTGTTTATACTTTGCGGGTAATGAGTATGTGTATCCAATGTTGGTTAATCAAAGGGGCCTGCAAAATAATATGCATGTATATTGAGTCATGAGACATATAACACTTGCATAAAGATGACAACTGAATGCAATACAGGGAAAGTGGCGAGGGTTTGCTGAATTGGTTATGCCTGAGTAGTAAGGCTTGGTTTGTGTTTCACTTGGCATCTAGCTCCTTAGATGAATTTCCAGGTTGGAGTCTGGGGAGTTATTTGGAATGGTTCGAAGAAACTAGTCGTATCACTGTGTACCTTAGTGTGCCTGGATATTACATTTATTCAATATAATCGTCTGGTTTCCTAACAATGGAATATGTAAGACAATTACTCACATTATTTTTGTATTTGTCAATTACATACTTGAGGACACTATAGAGAGATTGGACTTGTGTTTGAAGGATAATTTACATCTTAGTTATCAGAACCGGCCCGGACGTTGAACTGACGGAGGGACCGGGTCTATAGATTATTGGTTTAACCGTTGGATTAACTGCTTAGACCAGTTATATATTTAAAAAATAAAAAATAAAAAATAATAATAATAATAATAATAATGAATATACTATATGCTATGCAGCTATAAAAATATTAATAATTAAGCAAGTCATTTGAGTGAAATATTTATCACACATGAAATGGCCACAAGAGGAAGAGAGAATTGGCGCCTATTTCAATTCAGCCCCATCTCACATTGGTCAGCCACAAGGAAATGAGAGAACCAGCAGTTTATAAATGTTCCACTCCAACATCTTTTTCATGTGTGCACACATGGTCCAAGTGGAAGCCTCATAATGAGGAGAGTTGTGGCTATAGTAAGGCCTAAGCTGATGTTTTTACATATGAGCTATTGGCTAAAAACATTTGTTTTATAAATAAAAGTAGAGCGATCCAATTTAAAGTTTTGTTCAAGCAGTTTCTTTTTACATTGTCTGGTTTAATGAGTTATAATCACTGATGGAGTCAGAAATTTTGTATAGGGTGGACGCTTCAATCAGAAACTTTAAATTTCTTCCTCCCAATCAATAAAAATAAAATAATGTATTTAAATTTATGGCATTGTATTTGATACTTAAAAATTCATAAAATACAAAAATTATCAAACATCGATAAATATACCGTATACAAATAAAACATAAACAAATAGGCTAATTATAACCCTTCACAATAAATGAGACTAATTGTATAAAAGATAGTATAGTATTTCTTTATATAACCAATCAAGATATTACCTATTGATCACTCATTAAATTATTTAACCTAGTTTTCATAATATTTGTAACTTTAAAAATAAATCTGACATGTCAAACATTTATCTAGATGTATCCTTAGAGTATTTAAAATGTGTCAAAAAATTCATAATTATTTAGTTATATGACTATATTAACTAATAGAACAAAAAAAAATAGAGTGGACACACTTAAGTATACTTATAATAACTTTAAATATACATAAGTAATATTTTAAAAAAAAAAATTAGGGTGGCTCGTGCTCCCGGTCCTCATGTGACTCCGAAAATGGTTATAACTAGAATGGTTGCATGACCAATTCATTTAAAGAACTGGACAGGCTTAGGCACTGGTTGCTCGGTTCTTCGGTTTAACTCGCCTGTCCGGTCCAATTTTAATTACATTGATTTACATTGAATTTAGCAACAAGGAATCTGCAATTTGAATTGGAATGGGAAAAAAATAATTTTACAGTTCAGACAAGTTGTTCTCCAATTCCAATTGCAATGTCACAATTTTTCTTTCTATTGTTAGGTTCCCTTTGAAGTTTTATGAAATTTTATTGTATGTATGATAGTTGTAGATTCTGTAGTGTGAAATTTATTGTTGTTCGATTCCGGTGGAATAAAAATATTGGAGATTACACGTGCTTATTCCTGAGTCCTAATGGGACACGCCTTCATGTTCAGGACGGTTGGAATTGTTATAACACATCTATTTTAGCTTTATTGTACATACTCGATCTGCAGTACGTTTATTTGTATTTTGACTTTTGATCTTCAGGGAAAGAAAAGAAAAGATACTATTTGCATCGCCCTTGCTGATGATACTTGCGATGAACCAAAGATTAGGATGAACAAGGTTGTCAGATCAAACTTGAGGGTTAGACTCGGAGATGTTGTTTCTGTGCATCAATGTGCCGATGTCAAATATGGGAAGCGTGTTCACATTCTTCCGGTGGATGACTCTATTGAAGGGGTCACTGGGAATTTATTTGATGCCTACTTGAAACGTAAGTTTCTATAATTACCAACTTGTATTCTGTCCAAAAGTTATTCTCGAGCCTATCTTCGATTTTAATTATTGCCATATGTTCTTGCACCATCAAGCTACCAAGAGTAGTGACTACTATTTTGATTGTGATGGGAAATAATGGGATTTATGACGTACTCTTTTTTCATCTGCAAGTGCAAACACCCTTTTGACATCAACAATAATCAGTGTGTCACAAAACAGAATCAGTAATGTTTCTCATTTATTTGCATTTTAGTGTTTATAAAATCTTCAACCTCGGAAATTCTCCACCCACTTCAACATGGTTTCCAATCAAAGAAAAACAAGTACTTTGTACTCGTATGTTGGTTGTTCCATCACATGCCACTTTTTTTTCTCCTTTTTAGGAAAATTTCGTAGTCTAGTTGTATTCTTGTGGTTAAAGTTAGGTCCAATACTTTCCAAAGGAAGAAAAAAGTTCGGTCCAGTAACCTTGAGGTTATAGGTTCAAACTTGTGGGCAACTAATTTGTCTAAATAATTCTAAAGGTTAGGTTTGTACCCAATTTACTCTTCCCAACCCCTAATCAATGAGTGTTATTTTTAGAGTCTGTATTTTTGTTGAAACATTATTGCATTTGTTTCTTTCCTTTATATTTACTTATATTTTGGTTGTGGTTGAGCTGAGGCCTCTTCAATATTTGTAGCTTATTTTTTGGAGTCATACCGCCCTGTGAGGAAGGGCGACCTCTTTCTCGTAAGGGGAGGAATGAGAAGTGTTGAATTTAAGGTTATTGAGACTGATCCTCCTGAGTACTGTGTTGTTGCTCCTGACACTGAGATCTTCTGCGAGGGAGAGCCTGTAAGAAGGGAGGATGAGGATCGTTTGGATGAGGTTGGCTATGATGATGTTGGTGGTGTTCGAAAACAGATGGCTCAGATTCGGGAGTTAGTGGAGCTTCCATTAAGGCATCCACAGCTCTTCAAATCAATTGGTGTGAAGCCACCAAAAGGAATTCTGCTTTATGGACCTCCTGGTTCTGGAAAGACTTTAATAGCCCGAGCTGTTGCTAATGAAACTGGTGCTTTCTTCTTCTGTATCAATGGACCAGAGATTATGTCGAAATTGGCAGGGGAGAGTGAAAGCAATCTCAGGAAAGCATTTGAGGAAGCAGAAAAGAATGCACCATCCATTATCTTTATTGATGAGATTGATTCAATTGCTCCCAAGCGAGAGAAAACTCATGGAGAAGTTGAGAGGAGGATAGTTTCCCAGCTATTGACACTTATGGATGGCCTTAAATCCCGTGCCCATGTTATTGTTATTGGTGCTACAAATCGTCCCAATAGCATTGACCCTGCCTTGAGAAGGTTTGGGAGATTTGACAGGGAAATAGATATTGGTGTTCCAGATGAAGTTGGGCGTCTTGAGGTGCTGCGTATCCATACAAAGAACATGAAGCTTTCTGAAGATGTAAGATTAACAGACTTCAAACCTTCCAGTTGAGTTCACAATTCATTTTATGGATGACTTTTTGTGACATCGAATATGATTTCATTTGTGCAGGTTGATTTAGAAAGAATTTCCAAGGACACACATGGCTATGTTGGTGCTGATTTAGCAGCACTTTGCACAGAGGCTGCACTTCAATGCATCAGGGAGAAGATGGACGTAATTGACTTGGAAGATGAGTCCATAGATGCAGAGATACTCAACTCCATGGCTGTTACCAATGAGCACTTCCAGACTGCTCTGGGAACAAGCAATCCCTCCGCTCTGCGTGAAACAGTAAGTAGACTTGTCATATTGATTAATGTGTTAAGGTACGATTGTGCTGACTAGGCTTGATAATTAATTTTTTGATGAGACAGGTCGTTGAAGTACCCAATGTCAGCTGGCATGATATTGGAGGCCTCGAGAATGTGAAGAGGGAGCTTCAAGAGGTAATCATAGTTACTGAACAGTTTTGTGTGTATGTATTAGTTTCCGCTTTTAGTACTCTATTGTCTTGCTTGCAACTAAGTTCATTTACTTGTGCTATTTGTCATGTAGACAGTGCAATATCCTGTGGAACATCCTGAAAAGTTCGAAAAATTTGGTATGTCACCCTCGAAGGGAGTTCTTTTCTATGGTCCACCTGGATGTGGTAAAACTCTGCTGGCCAAGGCTATTGCCAATGAATGTCAAGCGAATTTCATCAGTGTCAAGGGTCCTGAAATGCTTACTATGTGGTTTGGAGAGAGCGAGGCCAATGTGCGAGAAATATTTGATAAGGCTCGCCAATCTGCTCCTTGCGTCTTGTTCTTTGATGAACTGGACTCAATTGCTACACAGGTTTGTTTTGTTGTTTTCTAACGTACGCAGTAGTTGCAATATTTTTCTTGTTGGTCCTGACTTACCCTGTTTTGCTACTTCTTTCAGAGGGGAAGCAGTGTAGGAGATGCTGGGGGTGCTGCTGATAGGGTTTTGAATCAACTTTTAACTGAAATGGATGGAATGTCTGCCAAGAAAACTGTCTTCATTATTGGTGCTACTAACAGGCCTGATATAATTGATCCTGCGCTTTTGCGGCCTGGCCGTCTTGATCAGTTGATATATATCCCTCTGCCTGATGAGGAGTCTCGCTATAGTATTTTCAAGGCATGCCTGAGGAAATCTCCTGTTTCCAAGGATGTTGACCTAAGGGCCCTAGCTAAGTACACTCAAGGCTTCAGTGGTGCTGATGTTACAGAAATATGCCAACGCGCATGCAAATATGCCATCAGAGAGAACATTGAGAAAGTAAGTATATTTTCTTCCTTTTTAATGTTTTTTCCTCTTTTCCTCATCTCCTATTTCCCAATATTGGTAGTGTGATGAGTAATCCATGAGGGCAATGGTGTTGCACCATGTCAGAAAGTTGGGTGGTTAGTGGGTACTTT